TAAATAAGCCACCATGGGCCCCAAGAAAGCTTCCAGTGTCAAGCCTGTGGTAAAAAGGGTGAGAATTACGATGGAAATGAAGAAAGAGATAGTTGAAAAATACGAAAGTGAAGTGCGTATGTCCAAGTTGGAAAGGCTACACAACAAATCCCATTCAACCATTAGTACTAGCTTGGACCTGTAAGAGCCTCAGGTGCAACAGCAACAGATCACATCTCAGGAATGCTCTTCACAGCAGGAGGAAGAGAGACGGAGGAAGATGACTTTGTCGAGGATTAGGGAACTGTGTACAATGTTTACAAAGGTGCAAGCATTTATCGATGAATTTTATCCTGTCACAGCTGTTGCAAGCCATATTGGCAACATGTACAATGGCACTCGTGTCCCATTTTAGGGAACTCCTGAGAGCACGTGAGAAATAGAGCTCTCTGGACAGATTTTTGGTGTGGCAGGTGTCCAAGCTGGCCCTAATGGCATTAAAAAACCAGGAAGGGAGGTTACCCCACCAAAGGACTTAGTACCTGAATTTTTTATGGAAGGGGATTCCCCTTCCAAACAATAGAACACTTGCATCATCTTTCCTCCTACCGTCTCATCACTCATCAACAACTCCACAATAAAGATAAGTGGCATTTAATTATTGTTTATTTTGCATGTCCCATTCGTTTTTGTGTAGGGAAATGCATATTTCACATAAAAAAATTATTTTGTTCAATACTTTTGGGTGTCTGAAACGGATTAATTCTATTTCCATTATTTATTATGGGGAAAATTAATTCGACTAACGGCTAGCTCTCTGGCCAGCTCGGAGACACGCACTCCACTTTCATACTTAGCAATGATCTCTTTCTTCATATCCATAGTAATTCTCACCCTTTTTGCTGGAGTTTACCTGGAGAGAGTTCCGGGGGTCAACGCCCCCGCGGACCGGTCTGTGACCAGGCCTCCTGGTGGATCAGAGCCTGATCAACCAGGTTGTTACTGCTGGCTGCACGCAATCCAACGTACGAGCCACAGCCCGGCTGGTCAGGTACCGACTTTAGGTGCTTGTCCAATGCCAGCTTGAAGAGTGCCAGGGGTCAATTGGTAATCCCCCTTATGTATGCTGGGAGGCAGTTGAACAGTCTCGGGCCCCTGACACTTATTGTATTGTCTCTTAACGTGCTAGTGACACCCCTGCTTTTCATTGGGGGGATGTTGCATCGTCTGCCAAGTCTTTTCCTTTCGTTACGAGTGATTTTTGTGTGCAAGTTCGGTACTAGTCCCTCTAGGATTTTCCAGGTGTATATAATCATGTATCTCTCCTGCCTGCATTCCAGGGAATATAGGTTCAGGAACTTCAAGTGTTCCCAGTAATTGAGGTGTTTTATCTCCATTATGCGCGCCGTGAAGGTTCTCTACACTTTCTAGGTCAGCAATTTCACCTGCCTTGAAAGGTGCTGTTAGTGTGCAGCAATATTCCAGCCTAGATAGAACAAGCGACCTGATGAGTGTCATCATGGGCTTGGCATCCCTAGTTTTGAAGGTTCTCATTATCCATCCTGTCATTTTTCTAGCAGCTGCGATTGATACAATGTTATGGTCTTTGAAGGTGAGATCCTCCGACATGATCACTGCCAGGTCTTTGACGTTGGTTTTTCGCTCTATTTTGTGGCCAGAATTTGTTTTGTACTCTGATGAAGTTTTAGAAATAAAGAAATAAAGTTTTTATTATTATTATCATTATTATTATTCAAAATCAAATCAAAATACATATTTATTTCCTCGTAAAGCTTACAATGTGTGGTTTACATGTTATAAAATATTAATTACAAAGAAGGCCACTAGCATGCCTAGGCATTTCGGGCAGACTAATACTAATTCTTACACTACATTGATGAGGTTATGGAGCAGTACATTTGAACATAAACATTATTAGATAAATACATAATTAGATACATACCTAATTAGGCACATACATAATTAGATTTACAATACTGAGGTAGAACAAATCATAAATCGATTCCCGGCGGGTGGAAACATTTCGACACGTTTCCTTACACCTGTTGTCCTGTTCACCTAGCAGCAAATAGGTACCTGGGTGTTAGTCGACTGGTGTGGGTCGCATCCTGGGGGACAAGATTAAGGACCCCAATGGAAATAAGTTAGACAGTCCTCGATGACGCACTGACTTTCTTGGGTTATCCTGGGTGGCTAACCCTCCGGGGTTAAAAATCCGAACGAAATCTTATCTTATCTCTTATCTTATAATATTACAAATGGTAAATTTAGCAATGGGGTTGGATTTGTCTGTTTCTATTAAAGCTTATATATTGGAAGTGTATTATAATAATAATAATAATAATAATAATAATAATAATAATAATAATAATAATAATAATAATAATAATAATTATTATTATTATAAGTGCTAGGTTATGAAAATTAAGAAAGTTTATTTAGGTACAGTTATACATAATTACAATTATCATACATAGTAACAGGTGTCCAGTAGCTTGACTGTTAGCGCACTCAGCTCACACATCGAGGTACGTGGTTAGATCCCCAGTACGGGTGGTAACATTAAGACGCATTTCCTTAAGACATCTGCCATCCATGTTCACCATGTTCAATAAGATAAGTACTTGGGTGTTAGTCAACTGGTATGAGATGCATCCTGGGGACAAAACTGACCTAATTTGCCCAAAATACTCTGCACAAGGACTTTCTACTGATGTTAGTACTTGTAGAAATAAAGATTATTATTATATTGTTATTAATGTGTGAATTACCTAGGATAACCCGAAAATAAAAAAAAACAAAGTGACTTATTTCCATTAGGTTCCTTGCAATGTTTTATTTAAAGCCTAGCACATGCAAGACAAACAACATAACCAAATGAAACAATCTATAATAACACAGCAAAACTTAACCTTACTCTGCCAGTGGATGATATGGGATTATCACCTTTGTTTACATTAACCGTGATTGGCCAGCAGCATCATTACTGTTGTGCAAGAATGGTATATAATACCGACAAGATGAAATTAAGACACATGTGCAACATCTGGGTATCTTTATTGTAGACGTTTCACCATCCAGTGGCTTTATCAATACAAATTCTAGGACATAACTTGAAGACAGTAGAACTATATACAGAAGATGAGGTAATCAGTCCCTCAACCATGGAGTTGGTGTGAAGAGCACCATAGTCCACGACTACGGTGCTCTTCGCACCTACTCCTAGGTTGAGGGACTGATTACCTCATCTTCTGTATATAGTCCTACTGTCTTCAAGTTATGTCCTAGAATTTGTATTGATAAAGCCACTGGATGGCAAAACGTCTACAATAAAGATACCCAGATGTTACACATGTGTCTTAATTTCAACATCATTACTAACTGGTGACTGGCCCTCAAGTGCAGCACAGCCCCCTAAAAAAAAAAAAAAGAAAAAAAAAAATAATATATATATATATATATATATATATATATATATATATATATATATATATATATATATATATATATATTATATATATATATATATTATATATATATATATATATATATATATATATATATATATATATATATATATATATATATATATATATATATATATATATATATATACACACACACATATATACTTGTATATATATTTTTCCTAACAACTCCCAAAATAATAATAATAAAAAAGATAGCATATGTATATTTTAAGAAAATAATAAATTTCTCAAAAAGGACAGAGTTCTCTATACTAGCCGAGGCTTTTAATTAACATTAATATTTTAATAACATTAATATTTATATTAATTACAGCTGTATAATTACTTGAAGGTTAAGCAAAAAAAAGTGCAGAATTTAGTACACTATAGGGACCCCAATGGAAATACAAGGACCCCAATGGAAATACAAGGACCCCAATGAAAATACAAGGACCCCAATGGAAATACAAGGACCCCAATGAAAATACAAGGACCCCAATGAAAATACAAGGACCCCAATGAAAATACAAGGACCCCAATGAAAATACAAGGACCCCAATGAAAATACAAGGACCCCAATGGAAATACAAGGACCCCAATGGAAATACAAGGACCCCAATGAAAATACAAGGACCCCAATGGAAATACAAGGACCCCAATGAAAATACAAGGACCCCAATGGAAATACAAGGACCCCAATGGAAATACAAGGACCCCAATGGAAATACAAGGACCCCAATGAAAATACAAGGACCCCAATGAAAATACAAGGACCCCAATGAAAATACAAGGACCCCAATGAAAATACAAGGACCCAAATGGAAATACAAGGACCCCAATGGAAATACAAGGACCCCAATGAAAATACAAGGACCCCAATGGAAATACAAGGACCCCAATGAAAATACAAGGACCCCAATGGAAATACAAGGACCCCAATGGAAATACAAGGACCCCAATGGAAATACAAGGACCCCAATGAAAATACAAGGACCCCAATGAAAATACAAGGACCCCAATGAAAATACAAGGACCCCAATGAAAATACAAGGACCCAAATGGAAATACAAGGACCCCAATGAAAATACAAGGACCTCAATGAAAATACAAGGACCCCAATGAAAATACAAGGACCTCAATGAAAATACAAGGACCCCAATGGAAATACAAGGACCCCAATGGAAATACAAGGACCCCAATGGATAAAAGTCAGTTTGACTTTTTTAGTGTTATCTTGGATAATCTACACATACGCTGCTATGTAATAATTTATATCACTGTATTTACGTGTTCCTGTACCTGAATAAACATAATTACTTAACAATGAAATATTTGGGGAGAGCTGAGGCTCCCTAGAGGCTCCACCAAGCCTCAACAAATGTCAAAAAAACTGCTTTTAGTGGCTAATTAAGGTGTTAGGTGGACATTAGGACACACCTGGACACTGCAGCAGTGTGGAAATAGGTAGTCAGGAGGAGAAACGTGCAGAAATAGATGAATTAAGGAGAGATAAGTATGGCGGACACCCACCTGACTCCCTCAGTCTCACACTGTTGTTGACACTCGCTAGTGAAGTGTGTCAAGTGTAAGTGGGCAAAGTGTAAGTGTAAAGTAAGTATAAGTAAAGTATGTAAGGTAAGTATGTGAAGTAAGTATAAGTAAAGTATGTAAGGTGTGTAAAGTAAGTATAAGTAAAGTATGTAAGGCAGGTGTGTAAAGTATAAGTAAAGTATGTAAGGTGTGTAAAGTATAAGTATGTAAAGTAAGTGTGTAAAGTAAATATAAGTAAAGTCTGTAAGGAAAGTATGTAAAGTATAAGTAAAGTATGTAAGGTAAGTGTGTAAAGTAAGTATAAGTAAAGTATGTAAGGAAAGTATGTAAAGTATAAGTAAAGTATGTAAGGTAAGTGTGTAAAGTAAGTATAAGTAAAGTATGTAAAGTAAGTATAAGTAAAGTATGTAAGGTAAGTGTGTAAAGTAAGTATAAGTAAAGTATGTAAAGTAAGTATAAGTAAAGTATGTAAGGTAAGTATGTTGTGGAAAATTTTATAGGGATGCTTACCTGTATGTACCTCAACATTATATACATGCAAGTAATCTCATTGGGAGACAACCATATTGTTTACCGTAGTCACCCCGTGTAGACATGTGAGAAAACTTAACCACCCCTGGTCACGGCAGGTGGTTCCTTCGAACTCACAATCTTATCCATATCTATCCGAGACCAGTATGGATTGGATAGCACCCACAAGTACGGTGCTACTAATTAATTGTGGACTGTATAGATTATATTAGTGTAACTGAATGAAGGAGGAGGGTAGGTTACACATGGATATATCCATCAAGGAAAAACACTTGTACATAATCTCTCCACTTACCAGATATTCTCTGGTGGTCACTTGATGTAGCTGGATCACTCATAACCTATCCAATTACAACATACCTAACTGGCCAGTATCAGTCTGCTATAACTAGAAGGGTTACTTAACTGTGGGTGATTGATACTCCTTATTTCCTCCATTCACCATCTCATTTTGATGTCCTGCTACACCAACATGGTTCTTATTCCAGCAGGACGAGGTATCCGTCGGTTTGTCCCGGTTTAGAAGTCGTGACTCCATAAAGCCTTCACTATCCTCGGGACAGGAACAACGAGGTAAACATGTGCACACACACTCTGGGAATGGCAGTTCATATCGCTTCAACGATTCCTTAACTTAGTGTTATTATCACTGATTACATTACGATTTACAAGACGGTTTAATGTCTCATAATTATTATACACATTGGAGGCCACTCCATTAAGATTTGAGACCGATGAGTGATGATTAAATCACTGGTAATTTTCCCCGGGACACAGTCCATGGCGACGCGCCAATCACCCCCGGTCCTACCATTATTCACTCATTTTACCACCTTGCACATGAAAATCACTCACTACGAAAGCAAAAGACTTGACAGACGATGCAACATCTCCCCAATGAAAAGCAGGGGTGTCACTAGCACGTTAAGAGACCATACAATAAGTGTCAGGGGCCCGACACTGTTCAACAGACCCCTGGCAGTCTTCAAGCTGGCACTGGACAAGCACCTAAAGTCGGTTCCTGACCAGCCGGGCTGTGGCTCGTACGTTGGTTTGTGTGCAGCCAGCAGCAACAGCCTGGTTGATCAGGCTCTGATCCACCTGGAGTTTACCTGGAGAGAGTTCCGGGGGTCAACGCACCCACGGCCCGGTCTGTGACCAGGCCTCCTGGTGGATCAGAGCCAGACCGGGCCGCGGGGGCGTTGACCCCCGGAACTCTCTCCAGGTAAACTCCAGGCTATTTACAGCGGTGCCGTCAATCACGTTCCCTCTCTCTTCACCAGGGACAGTCACGACACTTCCTATTATGAAATGAGGCCTATATTAATCCTTAGGCCACCGTGAACGCCAATTTCCTGGTTCCATGCTTTCCCAGCCTCCTCACTACATTCAAAACACTCCCGCCTCTCCCATGCCCCGATTCGACCTCTACCCCCGCAGATCCGCGCATGCACAAAGGGAACTCTTGGTTCTGTCCTATTGTCAAATACATTTTTGACTCATATCGACACATTAAACACCTGTTAGGCGCTATAGCTTCGGAAAATTAAAATATTTTCCACATATGTAAAGTAAGTATAAGTAAAGTATGTAAGGTAAGTATGTAAAGTATAAGTAAAGTATGTAAGGTAAGTGTGTAAAGTAAGTATAAGTAAAGTATGTAAGGTAAGTATGTAAAGTAAGTATGAGTAAAGTATGTAAGGTAAGTGTGTAAAGTAAGTATATGTAAAGTATGTAAGGTGTGTAAAGTATATGTAAAGTATGTAAGGTAAGTGTGTAAAGTAAGTATATGTAAAGTATGTAAGGTGTGTAAAGTAAGTATATGTAAAGTATGTAAGGTAAGTATGTAAATTAAGTATAAGTAAAGTATGTAAGGTAAGTGTGTAAAGTAAGTATAAGTAAAGTATGTAAGTGTGTAAAGTATAAGTAATGTGTGTAAAGTAAGTATATGTAAAGTAAGTGTGTAAAGTATAAGTAAAGCATGTAAAGTAAGTGTGTAAAGTAAGTGTGTAAAGTAAGTGTAAGTAAAGTATGTAAGGTAAGTGTGTAAAGTATAAGTAAAGTATGTAAGGTAAGTGTGTAAAGTAAGTATAAGTAAAGTATGTAAAGTAAGTGTGTAAAGTAAGTATAAGTATGTAAAGTAAGTGTGTAAAGTAAGTATAAGTAAAGTATGTAAGGTGTGTGTAAGTATAAGTGTGTAAAGTGGCCTGGTGGCTAACGCTCTCGCTTCACACGACTAGGGTCTGGGTTCGATTCCCAGCCAGAGTAGAAACATTGGGCGTGTTTCTTTCCACCTGTTGTCTATGTTCACCATCAGTAAAAATAGGTACCTGGGTGTTAGTGGACTGGTGTGGGTCGCATCCTGGGACAAAACTGACCTAATTTGCGGGAAATGCTCAGCATAACAAGCGGCTTTCTATATAGTAGTATGTTACTGATGTCAACTATGGTCTGTATACCTTGTACATGTACTGGTAGTAAATAAAAGATACTATATTTGTGGAAAATACTGTATATATTTTCCAGAAATTCAGTATTTATATGTAAATAGATGGCCATACTGTATTTAATAATATTTATGTCATAAAAAACGGAAAGCCTGCGTCGTCTGCGCAGACGAGACACTCGCCATGTTGGTTTTGAATTTATATTAGAAACGGTGAATGGGGAAGAATTTTTCGTGCTCTAGAGGTTAAAATTGTGTTGACACCTCTCAAATAGGAGGCGAAATTGGTGGATATGCATTCCTGCATAACTTGAGATATCAGACGACTGGACAAGACAGCTCCAGGAACCTCAGATAAGCTCTCTAGATTTGTGTATAATTCTGGCCAGTGTTTTCATAAATTTAGTTAGTGAGGTTTTTCTGAGTATGATACAACTTAATATCCAGTCAAATTGGTGAGTGATATTAAGATATATTTTCCTTCTGTTATGTAATTGTGTATATATATAACCATTTATTATTTTTAATATACAGTCCACAAATTTATATATTTACCAGTATTCCTGGTGATGTATTTTTCGTTTGATAATTAATAGGTCCAGAGCAACTTGTGGATATGACAGTGGTAGGTATCGAAGGGGGACATTTTTGCGACCTAGGTGTCCCAGATTCCTACTTGTCTATGTAACTCTGATAAATAATAATTATCTTTGTTATCATTTACTGTTATGTACATAATGAGTTACATTCAGATAAATGCAATTTTCCACAATATTATTATTATTTAAGTATAAGTAAAGCATGTAAGTATAAGTGAGTAAAGTAAGTATAAGTAAAGTATGTGAAGTATAAGTGTGTAAAGTATAAGTAAAGTATGCAAAGTAAGTATAAGTATGTAAAGTAAGTGTGTAAAGTATAAGTAAAGTATGCAAAGTAAGTATAAGTATGTAAAGTAAGTGTGTAAAGTATAAGTAAGGTATGTAAATCAAGTATAAGTGTGTAAAGTAAGTATAAGTAAGGTGTGTAAAATAAGTATGAGTAAAGTGTGTAAAGTAAGTATAAGTAAAGTGTGTGAAGTATAAGTAAAGTGCATAAAGTAAGTATAAGTAAAGTGTGTGAAGTAAGTATAAGTATATAAAGTATAGGTAAAGTGTGTAAAGTATAAGTAAAATATGTAAAGTAAGTTTAAGTAAAATATGTTGTGGAAAATACTGTATATATGTTCCAGAAATACAGTTGTTATATGTATATAGATGGCCATACCATATTTAATAAAATTTGTTATAAAAAATGGGAAAGAAGCCTGCGCCTGCGCAGACGAGACTCGCCATTGTTGTTTGAACAGGTCAACACAAACGTTAGTGAATAATGTGAAGAATTTTCGTGCTCTAGAGGTTAAAATTGGGCTGACACCTCTCAAATAGGAGCCGAAATTGTTGGATGTGCATTCCTGCCTAACTTGAGATATCAGGCGACTGGACAAGACAGCTCCAGGAACCTCAGATAAGTCTTATGTTGTAACTCTGGCCAGTGTTATTTTCATAGATAGACAGTGAGGTTTTCTGAGTATGATACACCTTGATCTCCAGTCAAATTGGTGAGTGATATTAAGATATATTCTCCTTCTGTTGTATAAATGTGTGTATATATAATCATTTATTAATTTTAATATACAGTCCACAAACTTATATATTTACCAGAACTCCTGGTGATACATATTTTATTTGTAATTAATAGGTCCAGAGCAACTTGTGGATATGACAGTGGTAGGTATCTAAGGGGGACATTTTTGCGACCTAGGTGTCCCAAATTCCTACTTGTCTATGTAACTGATAAATAATAATTATCTTTGTTATCATTTACTGTTATGTACGTAATGAGTTACATTCAGATAAATGTAATTTTCCACATATATAAAGTATAAGTAAAGTATGTAAAGTATAAGTAAAGTGTGTAAAGTAAGTATAAGTAAAGTGTGTAAAGTATAAGCAAGTGTAAGCAAATTATGGAAAGCAAATAAGTAAGTAAAGTAAGGATGGGACCACCTCTACTAGTAGTCAAGAGAAGGCGGACCTCTTTGCTGAACACTTTGCTACCAAAATGCAAGTTCCTGATCCAGCAAGGAACCCTCCTTGGCTAGCTGCAAGAACTG